TGGGGAATATTAATTAATGTCAAAAAATTTATTCACCTGACTGTCATTGTGGAGTATTAAAAAAAATTTTTGCTATGATAGTTATTTTCAACCATTTCAAAAACAGCAATAAAATATTTTTGTTTAAAAAAATTTTTTCATTTTTTATTAGCAATTTATATATTATAAACTATATTACAAAAGTAACAAAAACTAAATCAATACTGTAACTGATTTTTACATATATACAGTAATATATTTTTTAGATAAGTATATACTTTTTAATGCTTTTTACAGTATATTAAGAAATTTAAAAGGTAAATCGCGGTTGAAGGTTATAAAAAACAGTAAATTTCCATAATAAAATTTTTGTAAGTTGTTTATAGCGATAGGGCCATATAAAATTACCCTAATTTTATTTTCAGAAAATTCTATATATAAAAAATCAATATTTTTTTATAAAATTTAAAAAAGTTCAAATTTTTTTTCAAAATTTTGCTGAATTTGACCCGGCCGGGTTATGAGAACAAATTAATTAAGTTTATATGGCCTAATAATGAATGCAGCTAGTATACAATAAAAAGTTTTTTTGTGCCAAGTAAATGCTTCTAACAATATTGTAAAGCGTTCTGTAGTGATAGAATTATTGAAATCATCTCCGTAACTATATGATTTTACTTATTGCCAGAAACTTTTGGCCTTCAAACATTATATGAGGTAATGATAATTATCCAAATTTTATATACCCTTCAATTGCGATTTGCCACTTAACCTTTTAAATAGTACTAATATAGCTACTATATTAGAATTAACAAGATGAATCGACTTACGTATCTGATTTTTGTAATAAGCAACATTAATGGATCTTTTAAAGAATATAAAATGTTAAACAAATACCATTGAGCAAAAGTAAGACTCGTTGATTTTGGAATTTATAAAATCCTCAACTGGTTCTATATAAGATTAATAATAATAGTAATAATAATGACATGATAGAGTCAATAAGACTATTCACCTTTTCAACGCTGGTAAATTGGCATCTATGTGTATTCCCGTTAGGAAAATATGATAATTCGGACGTCAAAAAGAGTAGATGTCGTTATCAGTTATAAGCATGTGATTCAATCAATGATCACGTTTATCTTTAAATCAATAAATCAGTACAGTACATAAGTACCGAGAATCAGATTAATAGTTATTTCTATCAATATGAAGCTGCCACTAAGTGAGCATGAACTCACTAGTCTCTTTAATGATTTTCAAAGTGCACAGAAAGAACGAATAAAAATCAAACAACAAGCAAACTTTGTATATGAAATAATAGTTTCCATTATTCATTTTGATAGTTTTTCTTTTTAATTTGGTTTGATAATTTATTTCTAATAAAAGGTTTTCGAGTCTCAAAGTTCAGGTGCACAAAGCGCCAAGCCATTAGAAGAACTTGAAGATGAACATCAAAAGGTGCTGATCAAGCTGAAATAAAAAAAAATAGTTCTATATTAAAAAAATTACTTTTGAAATTTTCGATTATTCATTTGCTCATAGATGTATTTGAGTAAAATAAATTTGGCTGAAAAATATCAATTCGCTCGTCAATTATTTCATTTGGTGCATAATCATGATCGAATGAGCCAATCGGGACTTCCCGCAGACCCTTATGTAGAAAAGATAGAGAAGACTGTTAAAAGGTTACTTTCCTTTAAGTGAACATACTTTATTAAGTGTTTCTGGACATCTGATTATTTGCACTAATCATCTAAGGATTTCAAGTATGGAGTTTAAAGATATCAGTATAAAGGAGGATGCCTGGCAAAAAAGCATGCAAAAGTTGGACTGGGATTTACTGGATACGTCGAGTAGGTGTCATTACTCCTCGTTTTTTCATCATTAACTACCAATGTATAATGTTTATAATTCAAAAAGCATCAATTCGTGGAATGGCCGATATTTTTATAAGAAGCGAGAATGATAATCTTATTACAATGTGGTATTGGGAACTTAAAAATGGCTTGATTGATGCATGTAAATGTCGACCTCTTTGTAAATTGTCGTCTGCATCAGGTAAATTAATAAAGAACTTTTATTCTCATCTGAATGAAAACTTATACAAATTCGTTCTATTACTTCAAATGAAGTCAATTTATTATATGATATCGTTGCATATGATATCACATACACTTCTGGAATAGCACATGACAAAAAAAATACATCAAAAGTACTGAAGTTTAGCACAAGACATCGAGGGCGTTGTTTGCTTGTTTCTATAATAAGGTACATATTTTGATGATTAATTGATTTCATTAGTGATTTAATTTGACTGCATTTTTTAACGTTAAACTCATAATGATATAAGAGAAGATCCAAAAACAGGATCAGGCACTGAACCGGATTCTAATTATGACATAAAATTTGATCATCCCCTTGTTTTATCAACTATCAAATTTCGTGAGATGATTCAAATAATTACTACTTCAGGTAAAAGCGAAAAACGGGATGTACATTTTATTTCGCCGGAAATGGAGCTGTCACGGTTTATTACGGGAGTATTATGGAATGAGATGGATTGTTTATTTTAATAGGAATAATTGATTTCTAGTTCTCAATCCTGCCGTATTTAGTAGTGGAAGTACTCGGATCTCTTATCTAAAAGCAGGTTTGGTTTGATTTATACCAGTCTCTTTTAATATACGGCCAATAAATTTAGTAAATTTGAAATATGCCCAGTATAAATCAAGGAAATTACAAAATACGGTTTAATTCGGACATCACAAAAAAAAAGTGTTTTTAGCAAGAAAGGAATTGCATCCATAATTTAACGTATGCTATTATTATTCGGAAACCATTACCTAATTTGAAAACTTCACTATCTTTAGAAATGAAAGTGAATCGAAGATTTGTCTATCCTACCATTATTGTATTAATAATTACAAATAAAGACAAACAAACGAGTGAAACAAATCAGTGACATGTATCGTGACTAATATCTGTACATACCTTATATAATATAAAACGATGTGTTAAATATAAAGAAAAAAAAAACCAACTCATTCGAAAATTTTCTGCCAAACTATCTTTTCACATTTTACCATGATGCTTCAGTACATCTTTGAAGTTCAAATTTTCAATGCTATTAGGAAAATTTTTTCGTAAACCTTCGTTAAACCTTTTCCTGATGAAAACATCAAAAACCATTGAACATCTCTTGTTCACTAATTAATGATATAAAATATATAATTCTTTTTGTCACAAATTTAAATATTATTATTTCTTGTTGATCGACATAGCGTAAGTGATGAAAAATAAGAATGATCGCACACTTTGATGTTTATCAAGGTTAAAAATCCTTTCTTGGTTATGTAATATACTTATCACGTGAATTCCGTTTATCACTAATGCGTAAACAAGTAATGATTGACATCGTACCACATACGATATAGCAATAGAAAAATAGAAACGTAGATTAGTGTCACCTGTTCAAGTTACACGAATACCGAACACCGTGGGACGTTGGACTATTTGGCTCTCATAAATACTAGTTAAACTACGATAACTTTAAGTTAAAGGTAGTAATTTTTGCCTCGTTGGTGGGTGGGTGTTAAATTAATAGTCACATTCATTGAACCATTTGTCCTTAAGCAAGCAGTATTCTTCATACTCACACTTATTTATTTTCTAGCGGTGGTATTAAACAAGCCCGACGAAATGAAAATAACTCCCGATCACATATATGGTGGCATTCCAGTATTCAGACCAACCTGGGACCAATTCAAAGATTTCAGGGCGTTTGTAGCCGCGGTAAAACATTATGGCTATGATTCAGGTATTATAAAAATAATACCGCCGGAAGAATGGTAAGCACATCACTTTACTCAAGTCTTATGCTTTTTGTGGCTTTGCAAATGCAGAGATGTTTTTAATTCAAAAAATTTTTATTCTTTTAATGTCAATTTATTATAGGAAAAAAACACTTCCAAATGATTATTCTCGGCAATTAAGCAAGATTTCAATCAAAACTCCATGCCAACAAATGGTTATGCGTGATACTACGGTCGGATACTACGTCGTCCGAAATATAGAAAGTGATAAGACCTACACCGTTAAAGAATGGGCTGAATTATGCGAAACATCAAAATATGCTACTCCACCTCCCAAGATGAAAAGCTCTTCTTCCAAATCGTCTCAACGAAAAAGTAATAATTATGGAAAGGTCCCTACAAACCATTCGCCTAAAAAACGTAGCACATCCAGTCAATCACCACCCGGGACACCACCACGTACGAAGAAACGTGCTCCAGAAATTACTCAGACTCCTCCCGAGACACCACCAAAAGTTTGTACGCCAGGATCAAGCAAGGTTATTACTATGATCTCCGACTTGTCACTACCTGAGCAAGCTAGCATGACCGACTCGTTTGTAGATAATGATTTTTCATTACAAGACTACACTGATGGCAGTGAAATTGAAGAGGAAGAAGTTGTGCTCACTTCTGGACAAGTGACTACCGAATTCCTGCAGCAAATGCCTGAATTACAAGCTGCAATGCCGTCTACAATCACACATACTGTAGGACCTTTATCTGAACCTACCATGAAACCTATAAAAACAGAAGAATCGAATATGGATTTTGAAAATTTTGATTATCGTTCGGTCAACAGGCGACCGTTTAATGATGATGAATATATTAAAGAACTTGCTGTTTATTATTGGAAGAATGTGACATATACCCCACCCTATTATGGTGCGGATATGGCAGGTGATTATCAAAATTCAAGGATTGTCATTTATTGTATCACGTTTGCATTTTGTCAATTTTTTTTTTCATCAGGTACTCTATTTACTGATACGACCAAGTCATGGAATGTAAATTGCCTCGATAACTTGTTGAATACTATCGACCCGATTCCTGGTGTAAATGATGCATACCTTTACTTTGGAATGTGGAAAGCATGTTTCCCATGGCATGTCGAGGTACTCATTTATGTTCTCGACTTGCTTATTAAAAATAAATTAAGAAATGTAAATAACTTCTATTTCATTGAAATAGGATAAAGATTTATATTCTATTAATTATATCCACTTCGGTGCACCAAAGCATTGGTATGCTATATCTCCAAAACGAGCTGACAAATTTGAACAGCATATGAGAGGTAATAGTACTTGCATAAATTTGTTTTCGTCGCATTATGCAATGCTGCATAATAAATGCACTTAAAAATACTTAATCTGTAAAATTATGGGATGTCAACTTTATTTAAAAACTCCGAGTGGCGCAGTTTGTTATTAGGAGAATTGTAATAGATGAATTTTTCTCACTCGGTTAAATGTATAAACGGCTAACAATGTATTTCGATTAAATCTACAAAATAAATATAAAACCAGGCTGGTTTGGATATGCATCCAAGAATTGCTCTGAGTTTCTGCGCCACAAAGAGTTTCTTGTTTCGCCTTCTGCTCTCGACCGTGCTCCAATTCTTTACAACCGCGTTGTTCAACGAGAGGGAGAATTTATCATAACCTTCCCTCGAGGATACCATTCAGGATTCAATTTAGGATTTAACTGTGCAGAAAGTGTTAACTTTGCCTTCGAAGACTGGATTGAGATCGGAATTAGAGCAAAATCATGCGCATGCCGCCCGGATTCTGTCCGAATTGATGTCCGAGCTCTCTTTGGTCATTTGTTGGATCCAGATCTTACAAATACAAACTCACAATCAATTATTCCGTCATCGTCATCGTCATCATCATTATCATCATCATCATCATCATCATCATCATCATCGCCACGAAAATTGGTTAAACAAACGGCATCACGGAAAGTGGCCTCGGTTGCCGCACATTCAAAAAAGACAAAGATTAAATTATCTTCTGATTCTGTTGGTTCTACATCAACCAAAATTGTACTTTCTCCGAAAAAGGGTAGATTGAAATCTCACCCGAATAAAGCAGGTAAATAATCATGTGATACAGCAGCATAAACGAGATACAGAAGTACTTATTAATGTATCCAAATAATTAAAATAATTATATAAATATAAATTACTAAAGTTTACATTCACCAGGTAAGATATAAACATAAAATTTTCTTCAAAGCTCTTATAACTTTACCTAACATTGGCAATATTTCTTTTAGTGCTATTTATGTCCAAATAAATACAGTTATGACGAAGAAACATTGGAAGGAGGTGAATTTGAGCTTATATCCAACGGCGATGGCAGTCAATATGCTCATGGGTAACTGCTAATTAATTATATCTACTTTATTATTTCCACTAATAATTATCATTACTTAAATTCGAAGTATAATCACAATATTAGTTTATGTGCAATGTTTGTTCCAGAAACATGGATTGCGAGTACAGATGGCTCAATGACTGATTGTAAAATTATTGAAACAGAATCTATACCTGCATACCGGTTTGAAACGGTAGGCTCGTGAGATTCTCATATGTTTACTAAAACGTGTTGTCCATGTTATTTAAATAATATTAACAATTGATCTTGGTTCGCTCCTTTAGGAATGCCAGGTTTGTCATAGCAAAGCAGGTGCATGTGTTCAGTGTCAAGAGGCTGGTTGTACAAAGGTAATTCAGTATTGTAAAACTTCATTCCTCGAGACTTGTGACTTAATCTTGTTTGATTTATTAACACCTTTAGAGCTTTCATGTGTCATGTGGAGACAGTGATGGGAATCAATTCAAAGGAATTGACTTAGAAGGTCAAATATATTATGTGATCTATTGTAAAACGCATCAAAAGGTACGCGAATAATGTTAATGCCTCTGAATTTTACCAAACATTAATAAAATTATTATTTTTTAATTATAGGATCATGCTGCTATTATGGACATTTTAGGTATGGACGATGAAGAGGAGGTTTCAGACTCTGAAGAATTTAATGCCATGGAGTTGGATGTATCTTGGAATGGATAACAAAAAAATTATGGTGTGATTCACTCAGGTCTTGCTTTTCTTTCTTAAATCATGGGTTACGATATTGGTATTTGCATTTTTGCGTGAACACCATTCTTTTGCATGATTTATAACATTTTAGCAGAATTGGTCAGTAAACGCGTAAAAATGTAATGTAAATTTTTGCTTACAATAATAGCTTTGTTCATTACTTATCAGTAATGAGTTAAAGCAATAATTTGCTGTAACGCATTGAAAGTTTTAGTTATCGACTAGGAATAGTGTTAACATTTTACACCAAAAATAATCGTGAAATTGAAATTTTGTTTTGTAATTAATTCTTCAGTTTAGGTACTAAAAATTGGATTGGGTTTATTAGGTTTTTTTTTTTTTTTTTACAAAAAATGCATTAAAAAAACAATTAAATTAACAAATATACAGAGTATGTGGGTATTGGTGGTGTAGAGAATTTTTAATATATTAATTATGACTACAAAACTAAGTCTTATTGATATTAATAACTATTTATAATTAATGTTTTTTTATATACAGAATAGTATTACTGTTATTGTTAATGTATAAAATAATATGGTTAGACAATTTGATGTAATACAGTAGTACAATTTTGTACAGATAGTATATAATAATTATTATATACTGTGCTAAATTTATACTAGTATGTCAAATTGGCTTATATAGTAGTGATTGGGTATTATAAAGTATTAAATTTGACTTGTTTGGCTTATACAATAATTTGATATAGTATAGTATATATTATACTTAGAGATGTGCCGTATGCATTATGCAAGCGATGTTGCATGCTACATAATGCTGCATAATGCGATGCAAGTTGCCTAAAATTTAAAAATGC